AGATTTTTGCATTGCATTTCAAATAAACATCTTCCTACTTCTTTTATTTTATATTTCAAAAATAATCTATTGTTATTTATCGTCAAATACGTTTTTTAATATTATATCATAAAATTCATAATTTTAATTGCTTATTCTAATAGATTAAAGTTGTTTATCAATAATATATATGGATTAATCAATAAAATTTTGAGATTCAATTTAGACTTCTATTAATCTTGTACTTCAAAGTAGATATCATTGTATTTGTCAAAAAATGATGCTCAGGTTGTTTAATATTATATAGCTGATATAGATATGATTTAACAATAACAAAATATAAAAAATATTTTAGTTAATCTTGATATCACAAATGTTTTAAATAAAAATTATTATCAAAATTTATAATACTCAATATAGTATTACTTTGAGAGGATATGAGTTTAATTTTCAAAGGTATTATAAAAATTATTGCAAAACTATATTAATAAGCAAATTAATAAATTAATAATACATTCATTCTTGTCATACCAATATGAATTAATTTAAATCATAATAGTGTTGTGAAAACATGAAAAAATTATTTTTCTCTTTTTTTGTACTTTACATTCTAAACATGAATGATCATTTTAAAAAACATAACTCTTTATTTTCTTTTTCATTTCAAAATTATTTAAGTTATAAAATTGTTATTGAAAATAAAGGTTCGAGATAAAGAAACTTATTAATAAATCATTGAAATATAGGGTTTTAACTTTTGACTTTTACCATTTGTTAAAATGAGGTTTGACAAATAACTACATTTTAGAAGCTATTTTAAATGAAAATTATTTATTGATTAATATAAACAGTCTTATTCATCATAATATAGGTACGACTATTATAACTAAGAATTAAAGTTTTTCAAATTCTAAGGACCCTTTAAATAGATTATGGTTAAAATTAATTTAGGCTAGTAAGCACAATTTGGTAATTACAATGTGAGACAAAAAAATCAGAATTTTTTAAATTCATATTACGCAAAAACTAATAATATTAACTACATAAAATTTATTATTTATTTGAAGCTAAATACTAGCTAATTTTATTATTATTTTAGAATGAAATTCGTTCACCATTATTTTCTACAATAAGTTCACATTAGCGATTTATTGATTCTACTAACTCAATTAGGATTCTAGAATATTGTCTCATTCTTTAATAATATAACAGTGCAAATTATCAGTATTTTTTAGCATTTTCTTCTTCACATTCCTTTTAACAATACTTTAAAGGTTTTTATCAGATTTAGGAATAAACTTTTAGAAAACCAGTTAATAATTTCAGGAAAATTTTTCTGAAGAAATTTTTTGGTATATTTGCTAGTGTATTTTGGATCATTATCTTGCTGAAAATACTATTCATCTTCTAACAAGTCTCCAATCTCTGAAAGATAGCTACAGAGTATACAGTCCCTACTAAAAGTCTCTGAACGTTATCTTTCAGACTTTTCGTACTAATTACATCATATGACTATAGAAAATTGTGGCTATATAATATTCCAGCCATTGTTTACTTAAATCAAACTAAATAAATATATGTTTGGTTTGTTTATTTTGATTTTAGATCAAAATAAAATTTTATCTTTTTAAAATAACGAAAATGTCCAAAGAATTAATAATAGAACAATGCGATAGCATAATTTTTTGCCATTAATGTAATTATCATTATCGAACTATTGCCGTAACTATCTATTGAGAATCTATAGGCTGAAGTCAAGAAGAGTATCTGTGAAAGGAAAAATTACCTTCCAACCTTGCTCAATTCGATCAACATGTTATAAGAGTATGGAAACAAATTCTGATACAAAATATTAAAATTTTGGTTGATAGTATGCCGCAGTGAATTTGGGCTGTGATTGAAGCAAATTAAGGTCTGAACAAGTACTAATTATTTATTACTAAATGTGTAGCATATCATACTTTAATAAATATATTAATAAATATTTTTTAATAAAATTTAAAAATTTCAAGTTTTATATTGAGCCAAAAAATGTCTAGAGACTTTTGGCAGGAGTCTGTATTTACATAAATTCAGCATTCATTATTTGAGAAAAATAACATAAATTTGTTTTTCCTTTTACACAAAATCATTCCTATACAAAGATTTTGTTTGATCTTTAAACCACTAGTAAAATGTTGACAAATTGGCAACCATCCTGATGTAAATAGATTTAAATATCTGAAATTTCAATATTTCAAATAAATAGCAATCGGTATTGTTACAAATCAGATACCAATCAGCAGTTTTCTATCCTTTAAAATGTATATTCCGATTGCTATTTATTTATAAAATAAATAGCATGCAGTTTGTTATACTTTTTTTAATTATAAATTAGTATCAGTAGACACTATTGTTATAAATTAATTCAAAAAAACAATATCCGATTACTACTTATTTATAAAGTTAATCATTATCTATTAGTGTCGATTTTTTGAATAAATTATGATATGATTTCAATTGTTATTTATTTGTATTGTTTATTATCATCAGCATATAATAAATAAATGCGATAGTAAAATACATAAAAATCCATAAATAAATAGAAATACAATTTAAAGCAATTACATATGAAAATGTCTGTTTATTGGGATTACCGCCATATATTTGACAGGTTTCTTTGACCTACTATGAACTTCCACGGTATAAATTGGCTATATATATTATAGATGGATATAATGCTATCTCTGTTGATTTCGTAAAAATCGTATTTCCACAATTTAATATTACAAACGTTAATATCATCGGCAACTTGACAATGGAATCTTGTTTAATGATTCAGTGTGGGCAAGAACCATTTTACATATGCCAGATAATGTTTACGTTTACTATCTAGAAAGTTTACTTTGTATTCAAAGTAGAATTGTATTTGACTAGGATACATATCACATATATTGTTATCATAAATAAATCTCGTAAGAATGAAAGAATTCTTGTAAAATCATGGTATATTCATTGATCTGAAAGTCTCAGCGCCAATCTGTATTTTTCCAAATTGGTTGATAGTCAGTCTAATAACAGTCTGTCAACCGAAATGTTGTATATTCATTCTAACTAATTCTGCAATAGTTACAAAATCTGAATCATAGGCGGCGTTATAATATTCTACCAGAATATTATAAATGTTATCTGGTAAGTTAACATTGCTTTTTGAGGGATAATATCTCTTCTGTAAAAGTTTCTGAACCTGTAATAGTATTATTTATTTCCAGATGATAGATTTGCAGAAAATAAGCTAGCTCCACATATTCGAAATTGTTATAAGCGGCTAAGCTTCCCACAGTCATTCTTAGTTGTATGAACTTCAAGCATTCTACAAGCATCCAATTATCCAAATGACATGATATAAGGTCATCCAGTTTCCAATTATGTAATATTATTTGCGATAATTTAGGCTCTATTTTACGATGACTGTTGGAAAAGGACTTTAAAATTACATTCATGCATTCAAAAGAGTAACACCAGAAGGAATATAAAGGACCATAATCTTGACAATATTCCATAATATAAAGAGATAATGGATATTTGATGTTATCATTACTGGACCATAATTGTCTTCAATTAAACGAGCAACTGTCAATAATTAGATATGGGCTTCTTCTAGTACACATTCATTAATAATTCTTGATACTAATAAGAAGCAAGCCCTTACAAAATTGGCCAAGATTTTCCGATCTCCTTTATCTAAAAGTTCTCAAAGCAACAGAGTAGCGTAAACCATAATAAATATCCTTCATTGATCTGCAGTAAAACTGGAAAAACCTTCTCCAGTTGCAATTTTGCATGGAATCCTTCAAAGATCCGCTGGTATATTAATCATTTTTGACCATTTTTCTATTAGTTCTAGATCTTATTTTGTTAGTTTTCTACCATCTATCCATAACCTCTTTACTATCCAATGAGCGATGCTCAGAAACAAGTAATACATAGGATCTACAACTAGATGCCTAATTGGATCATGATAGGGTAATCTATGCATTTTAGACTATCTAACATGAGTCATTTTAACATGTTATTTTCTATCTTCTTTTATTTTTTTAGATTTCCAAATAGTAGCATTGTGACGATGCTCTTCTGGATCCTGCATTCTAAACCATTCAGATATATTATCAAAACCTCTAAAATTAGCTCTTTCTCCATCAATACTATCTGTACGTTTGTAACACCTATGATAACCCATTAAAGCAGAAATATGTCCACATAATTTTGTGCAGCTGGAATAACATTGCTGCAACAGATTACTGCTAATCTGATTCTTCTACCAATAGGATGCTGGTTAGTGGCTGATAAATCTACACCATTCTAGAATTCCAGCAATTCATCTATAATCGAAGCAAGATAATGATTATCTGATGTAATTTGATTTCGTGAGGTTTTGGTAACAAGCTAAGAATTAAAATATTTTCTTTTTTGAAGCGAACATCCCGTGGTAGATTGCATATAACACCATATATTACACCACTGCTATATAAAGATGACTCGAATGGTTGGAACCAATCGAGATTTATCATTAATCCTAAATGAGAATTGGCTGTTACAGGTATGAAAAATCGTTCTTGATTTACATTATCCATATGTGATAGGAATTTTCACCATATTTCAACATCATAGATATCAGAAAGTAAGCTGGTTTCATTATCCTGAGTTACCCATTTCTTTAAAAGTTCTTTAAAGCCTGGTCTTTGATACATTGTAATTATTTGAGTCCTTAGACAAGGCAATGGATATATTATTTTAGGATGCCATATGTATCCGTTTGTTACTGAAATTTTCGTAAGTAATTCTGCTCTACAAGCTTTCCGTTGATTTCACATTAGATGATTCAAGAATTCTACATGAGAGCATTTACATTCTGAATTCATCTGATTTGTTGTAATAGAATATATTTTATTGCATTTGGGACAGACAACATATGTTTTTGATTTCCTTTTTATATCTAATTACTTCTTTGTCATATAAGCACTTGCAGAAAATTTTTCGAATCATTTTTCATTAGCATCAGACAATACTACCCTAAAGAATTTGATTAATGAATTGACTGTAATATCTAGAAGCCTGAATCTTTCTTGATATTTTAAGATCCATAAAAGAATCCAAAAATTATTCATATTTATGTTTGTGGATGTATTTTCCGTATCTGATTCTTCTAAATATTCAGGTGTCACAAACAATTTATTATCATTTAACAATAGTTCATCTGAAGAAGATTCCTCATCAACCGACTGAAATTCTTCGTCATCACCAGAGGAATCAACTTATTGTTCATATTTTTCATCTGGAATGATAATGGTATTGTTGCTAGTCATACGAAACTGATTGTATTTTCTTCACTTTTTTCTAACATTGTTTGGTTTTGTAGCAAAAATTATTCTATTACTAGTGAAGCTATCTTCGTTTAACAAAATATTATCATCGAGGTCTTGTAAAAAATTAACTGAATTTAATAAAGAATCCTCATCTAATGAAATATTGTTATCAAGTTCTTGTGAAGAACCAGCCAAATTAGGTAAAGAATATTTGTTTAACAAAATATCGCTATCGAGGTCTTGTGAAGAACCGGTCAAATTAGGTTGTATAACATCATCATTGTAATCTGAATTTTGCGAATTAATCCTAATTGATTTTGATTGTATTTTTGATCTAGAAATTTCTGTTTCTTTTTTTTCCTTTTAGAAATAGAAGATTTAAGCTGATTATATTTTATTTTGTAAGTTTTCCTGGTTCGAGTATCAACCAAATGACCATTACATTTTATGTAGTTATATTACACTTTTGGTCAAACTTTTGTATGTCTTGTAAATATTGCTAATTTGTTATTCGATTTTCGTTTGATCATTTTTTTTAAAAAAAAAAAGAATTGGGCAAAAAAATTTAATGATCAATAAAATTAAATATATATGCAGATTTTATTCAACATTTATATTAAAAGCATGTGAAAAAGTATAATTTGATAA